CCCCAGCCTGTTTAATGTCATGTTTCTTGAAACCTAACCTTCCATTTCCCTGTTATATCCGACCTGATGGCCCTGACTTCTACCTTTGAAAATGTTCAGGATTGCACATTTTAACCCATCATTGAATGTTTTCTCACTTGATTTTTTTTCTTAAGTTTATTTCTCAAGTCAGTTAAAGATTTTACATTCCTCTGAACTTACTTTTTCTTTCTGAAGTGTGTCATCTCAATGTAGGCAAAATCTCCAGGTGTGTGTCAGATAGAAGTAAATTCTTGGTTCATAAAGTAAATTTAAGTAAAATTATAAAATAATCTAATATATTTGCCTCCTGCCCATGCATATTACCAGTTCATTCACTTTAGTGTGGCGTTCAGCACATCTCCCCAGTCTGGATAAGGGTTTATTTCATTGTAAATCATTGCATTAGCAATTCTTCATGTCTTGTTCTTAATTTGGTTCTCCAATTTAAAAAAAAAAAAAAAAGTTGCTTCTTATGTCTCCAGATCAAAGTGTGTATTTATGTACCAATTTCTGCATTGCCAGAACTTCTGTGTTGTCTTAAAGCACCCATCCTCCTTTGAGAGGTTCTGAATGTATTGCTTTTAATTCTTCGGTCTTTATTTGTTGAGATGAATTAGTTTTTGGATATGACAATTTTTTTTTTGTAAATGAAAGGAATTAGGAAAGATTGATATAATTACTTATGATATCAAGACTTAGCTTTTGTCCCTGGCCCAGTTTGAAATGAATACTTTACTGATGCCAGTGTAAGCATCCTCCATGTTTAGGTGAATGGCTTTACTTGCTCCAGATGAATCAACTATATTAACAGACAAAACTCCTTGCTCAACTCACCCTCTCTGTCCCCTTTTATCCGTTACACTGTGTGGTGAAGGCAGAACCGGTACCAGGCATTGTCTCTTGAAAGGGTACCCCGTAGGGGGAGGGAGAAACTGCCATCCCTAGTAGGTGTTGAGAGTTTACTGTAAGTCCCCAGAAGTCAAGCTGCAGGAATGGCATGCTGGCCAGGAATCTGTGTTTTATCACAGTTGCTTTTCTGTTGGTTTGTTGTTGCCTGTTTTAATAATGTTGCTGCAAATCTTCTTTGCCAAGTTTCAGGGTTACCATCAAGTTAAATGAATGGTGGGAAGCTCGCAGCCTTGCAAGGGCAGCACAGGGCTCTCTGGCTATGTTCAGCTGCAGGGCTAAATTGAGTGCATCTTTTCTGGTTTTGTTTTGGTTTTGTGTTTTTAATTATGCCCTTAATTTAAGTCAAGCATGAAAACTGCTAAATACCAGTATGACCTACCATTGAGAACAGCCTGGATCTAAAACACATGCTCCCTAGGTCTGATCTGAGACTGGCTGTCTGCACGGGGTATGGATTGCATTAAGTTGGGATCTTTACCTGTTTATATCTGGGACTGTGTGTGACATGGTCTTAAAACTTGATGAGCAGTGTAGGAAATGAGGCCATGACACCGTATCCTCAAATTGTTACTTTTTACTGTCTTGACAGGCCGTTTCTGTGAGGAGAACGTCGACGACTGTGTTTCAGACTCAGGAGTACCCCGCTGCTTTAATGGAGGGCAGTGCATTGACCAGATCGGGGGCTACAGCTGTATTTGTCTCCCAGGCTTTGCAGGCGAGCGATGTGAGGGAGACATCAACGAATGCCTCTCTAATCCTTGTAACCCTCGTGGAAGTCTGGACTGTGTTCAGCTGATAAATGATTATACATGCATCTGTCGTAGTGCTTTTACTGGTGAGTAGTCGTAAACATGCTTCCAATTTCAGAGTAATGTCTTGAAAAATGGTCATTCTTTCCCTTTCTGGCAGTGTTGTTATCTAGCCACTTCCCTTGACAATATCTGATTGTTTCCCTACACCATGTCTCAGTTTTTAAACCAATCTTTCTTTTAAACCTTCTAAGAAATTTGGCTTCCAGAGCTGTCTCAGACAAAGGAATCTCCTGAGACGCTTGGCTGCCAGGATTTTTTTTCTGTGGTATTTTTCTCTCCTTCATAATTTCACATTTCTAATATTGGAAGTGTAACTGTTCACGTGTCAGCTTCTCCATGGCTTATCCTTTTGCAAAGCAGCATATGAAATTTCTCTATAAATCAGTGTCATGGTATCCATAATTAGCTTCTGGCCTGCTTTTCTACTCCTCGCTCCCTTTCTTCCTTACATTGGTGATGTGGTCAGGATGGAATACTCTATGCATAGACAGACTGTACATTCCTAGCTTAGTGATGTGATCCTTCCACAATCCAACTTTGAATCACAACTTTGCAAGAATTTCACACTACGCAAACTTATGTCTCTCTCTCTCTAGATCTCTTCTTTGTTAGTATTGCTGCTATTCTGCTTTCTGCCTCCCACTGGGCCTAAGTTTGGGCTAATAGTCTCCAGATGTGTCTTAACTTTCAGCTTTCCAGTTTCCATGTCAGTTTAACTTCTTATATATTCAGTTTTCCTCCGTTAAAACCTTTCACTTTCCCTGCTTACCAGTGACTTTCTCTGCATGCTTTACCGGTAGTTTTTACTCTTTTTTTTTCTTAAAATTTAAAGATGCTGTGATTTTCCACTAAATTTGTGATTGTCAGATGCAAAGAAATCACAGAGACATACATCTGAAGAATTCAGTAGTAGTTCTTGAATGCATTACCTAGACTGACAAAAGAAGTTCCTAAAAGAGCAACATATGAGGGAAGTGGAGCCAGGCTAGCTAGTGGGACACTGGTGCAGGTCATCAGATAGGTTTATATTTAAGCCCATCTGTTAAGCTTGCTTTTATGAATTATGCTTCATGTTGCTTCTGGCTCTCATGGAAGGGTTGCTGGAACTTGGGGCGTGGGGAGTGCAGACCTGCTGCACCCTAGGAGGAGCAGGAAGAGCTGCTGTGTCTCAGACATGAAATCTGTCTGGAAATGTTAGGCACAGAGGGGGAGCGTGCTTCTTGCTCTAGCTGTTCGTCTTCTGCGCATTCCACATTGACCCTTCTGCCTGGGAGGGGACGGGGGTGGCTTTGCTGTGGTTTGTGACTGATACGATGCCAGGACTCCGTGGGCCATCCTGCTCTGTCTGCTCCTGTCTGTGAGCAGTCAGTCTTGGCTGCACATGTGTGGAGACTTCTATTAATTTTTTCTTAGGGGGTCCAAGTCATGCTTAGGTCGTCTTCATCTTTTTAACGTCTGGTGTCAGAGTTTGACTCTGGGAGCTGCTGCAAATGCTAGCCAGTGCAGTAAGACCTCTCTGTCTAGCTGATCAGTCTGAGGAGGCTCTGCTTGCTTGTACTATTTGCTCATGTTGCATCTGGCCCTGAGGGTTGTTCATTCATGGTTAGAGAGTGATTTGCCTTTGGATTCATTGAGCATCTCCCAAAAAGTAAAGAAGTCTTAGGAACCGCCAAATTCATGTGGTACAGCACCTTCAGCCAAGGTGGACTGTCTCCAAATACCCCTTGTGGATTCTGGGGTTGTGCCTTCCTCTACCACTACTTTGGCAGCTACTTAGAGACCATGTGTTATCTGAAGAGATGTTCCCTACCTGTTCTGAGGGGAAGGTCTCACTGAAGTGTTTGGCTCGTTGGCTAGTCATTGGAGTGGTTTGCTTTGTGATGGCTTTTTGATACGCACACTCACACATTTCTCTGCTCTCTTCTCCCCATGTGTGTACATCTCAGGTCGTCACTGTGAGAGTGTCATAGATGTGTGTCCCCGGAAGCCTTGTCAGAATGGAGGTACCTGTGCTGTTGCCAGCAATATGCCGGATGGGTTCATCTGCCAGTGTCCTCCGGTAAGCACAGTATCCTGAAACTGGATTGCCTGCCTCAGCTGTAGAGTTCTCTGGCTACAGTCTCATTAGTTTCACTGGTCCACCGTAGGTTAAGGTTATCTTTTCTGTACTACTTGGAAAGCTGTGTCCTGGGACACTCTTTACCCACATCCTTTAGTTTATCTACTTAGCTGGGAAACCCAGGGCTTCCAGGTACCCTAGGTGAGTGATGCTGCCTGTTGTTACCCCAAACAATTCTGCTGTTGAGGCAGGATAGCTGGCTTTTCTGTCTTAAACCTAGCATTAAATTTTTGCTATCCTGTGTTCTCTGTGCTTCCTGCAAGATTCCCCTTGTTCATGGCTCTTCTAAGTCCATTTCAAAATGTAACGGAGCCTTTTAAGTTCCTAGTTTATCCCTGAGGCTAGATCCAGAAAATCATGGCTCCTGCAATGGGGCTAGAGGAATTATGGGGGAGAAAGATGACACCTTGCCTCCAACCCTCGGAGCATTGAAGAATAAGTTTGTGAGCCTGGTTGTTTTGCCTTTTTTTTCCCCCGTAGGGTTATTCTGGAGCAAAATGTGAGTTCAGCAGCCACAGTACTTGTGGACAAGTGAAATGCAAGAAGGGGGAGCAGTGCATCCAGACATCTTCTGGTCCACGGTGCTATTGCCCCAAGCTGTCTGTGGGAGAGGAATGCCAGACAAACACGGGTTGTGCCCGTGCCCCCTGCCAGAATGGTGGAAGCTGCCACCCTCATTCTCAGCCTCCTTACTATTATTGTCAGTGCCCTGTTCACACCCAAGGCAGCCAGTGTGAACAGCCGGTAACTTTCAGCCCAGAGCCCCGAGGATGTTTGGATTCCCAGTGTGCGGAAAAAGCAAAAGATGGCTATTGTGATGAAGACTGTAACACTCATGCCTGCCAGTGGGATGGAGGCGACTGCTCCCTGACAATGGAAGATCCTTGGGCCAACTGCTCCTCTTCATTGCGCTGCTGGATGCTTTTCAATGGACAGTGTGATGAGTTCTGCAACACACCCGAGTGCCTGTTTGACAACTTTGAATGCCAGCAAAATAGCAAAACATGCAAGTAAGGCTTGATCCTGAGAATGGTTTCTCTGTGTCACTAATATACCTCCTGCTAGTGCTTTCAGTAGTTGGTATGCTTCATGCCTGCTGCTCCCATCTCTTCCGTTGTTTCTGTTGCTGGTCCTTGCTCTTGCTGAAAGTTTGGCATCAAGGAGTTTCCGCTGCTTTGTGTACTTTTCATCTATTTTTGGAAAGAAGTTCTGGAATTTGTATGCTGTGAACTAAGCTGATAGCTTGAGCAACGGTAATGTGTTAACCTGCTTGATGGATGTGCCCTGCTTTCTGTGGAAATGTAAATAGGAGGCATTTCACCTTGTACTAGATTTTAATAGTACTGCCTCCTATCCTGAATTTCACTCCATACCAACAATACCTGGATTTTTATCCCAGCTGTATTTGCTACCTCTGAATGTGTTTTCCAGCTTGTTTGTCATGGCACTTCTTTCTCTTCAGTTATTTGTGATAAATGCTACAGCTTTGCTGTGATGATTCTCCCTTGGTGAGGCAGGAGGTGTTACAGCATTATCTTAGTAAACAGAATAAGCAGTTCTCTTCCACTGGTACCAGAATTGAACCACATGTTCTTGGAGCGTTCTGTGCTTCCTACTTCCACCCTGCCAGATTGCAAGCTTATCCTGGGGTTATATTTCTTCTCCTTATATCCTGAATATGAGTGTTATTTTACCTCAAATGATTATGAAGAGTGTAAGGCCTTGGCCCCTAGACTGCAGGTATACTGTACAGAATTTGTATGTCCTATATGCTGCCTGTAACCCTTTCACTGTTCTAGGTATGACAAGTATTGTGCAGATCACTACGCAGATGGCCGCTGTGACCAGGGCTGTAATAGTGAGGAGTGTGGCTGGGATGGTCTGGACTGTGCTGGTGACAAAGCTGAGAAGCTGGCAGAAGGGACCCTAATCATTGTGGTCTTGATGCCCCCTGACGAGTTGCTGGGTGATGTTCGCAGCTTCTTGCGTACTTTGGGAACTCTCCTGCATACCAATCTGAGAATCAAGCTGGACTCCCAGGGAAACCCCATGGTATTCCCATACTATGGGGAGAAATCAGCAGCACGGAGTCGGCGATCGCTTGTGGTCATTCGCAAGCACAGAGAACTAGAGCAAGAGGTCATCGGGTGAGTGGATGCCTTTGTGTTCCTCCGGTCTTGTTATGCTGGTAGCTCTCAGGGGCATTCTGGACCTTCTGGGGCTGTAGCCCATCTATGTTTTTATGGGGAAATGTAAAGCTATTGCAACTGCCAAATTCAGTGCTGGGGTGGAAAGATTAACTTAAAAGGCCGCAGTTTAACCTAGTGCTTTAGCGAAAGTTTCTGTTGCTGACTTCTGTGCCCTTTTACTGTGTTTCTGCAGCACCAGGGTGTTCCTGGAGATTGACAACCGTCAGTGTGCAGAGGATTCGGAGCAATGCTTTCAGAACACAGAAGCTGCTGCAGCTCTTTTAGCTGCTCAGGCCATCAAGGGCATGTTACCCTATCCTTTTGTGTCTGTCCAAAGTAAGTAATTGCAGAGCGAAAATGGCTTGTGGAGGAAGGCAATCAGTACACTTGGGCTTGCAAAATTCATGCTCAGATTATCAATCGTATGTCTCACTGTTCAGTATGGTTTCTGGGGGCTAATTTATTCATCCCCAGTTACAGAAGTATGCATGTGCAATATACTTATTCTGCTCTGAGAGGACATCTGGTTAGTAAGGCAGGACATTTAAGTTTGGAGCCTAGTCATTTTAATAGCTGTAGAAACAGTAATCTCTCATGTGCTGCAGCAATGTGTCACACACTGCAGTGATCTTGTCTGCGCTAAAACCAATTCATGTGCTCTAAGCCATGAATTCAATGAAAAAGGTGCCATTGGGGGGCGGGGAGGGAGCATTCCTCAGTCTACGAGACATTTTCTCCTCTGGCAATATGTAATCCCTTTGATTTCTGCTCCCCTCTCCCTCAGTCTCAGACTCGGCTGCAACCTCGCACTAGATTGGTAATACCACTATTTCTAGTTGGGTCATGCTCATATCTTTATGTAGTTCACTCTACACTGATTCAGGGTGGCTGTCTTCAGCCAGCAGGACTCTTGAGGAAGGAGCAAGATCTTCAGTTCAGCAGTCATATACTCTAAAAAATACTTCGAGAAACAAGATCAAGGGAAGCCAGAAAGACAGGATGTATTCTTACAACAGTTGCAGCAGAGCCTAAACTTCCTTAAGCCTTTGCTCTAAATGCATCACAGTGTAGAGACAATAGACTCTCTGTGAGGAAGACTCTGAGTAAGAAAAGAAAGTATGTAGATTGAAGATCATTGTCTCCACTTTGTTAATCTCATTGTATTTTAACTGGAATTTTTAGGTGAACCCTTGTTACCACCGAAGACCCAGTTGCTTTACCTACTTGCTGTGGCAGCTTTGATCATCCTCTTAATCCTTCTCTTGGGTGTGATGATGGCAAAGCGTAAGCGCAAACATGGTTCGCTGTGGCTCCCAGAGGGCTTCATTCTGCGCAGGGATCCTAGTAATCATAAGCGCAGAGAGCCAGTTGGGGAAGATGCTGTTGGACTCAAGTAAGTTTGCATTTAGGCCACTGACAGTGTGTTTATTATGTGTTAGAGGATTTTGATAATGTGGTGTATAAATCTTTAATTAAAGGCACTTAACTCCATAGAGAAAGCTGTCCTTTAAGCTAAAACTTCTTAGGCTATTTCTCTAAATTTTAATATATCTGTTTTGGACAGAAGAACTTTGATTAGCTGTAATCTATAAAATGCTAGTAAAGAATCTGATCTCCTGGCTATGTGCGGTTTTCTGACACTCTTTTTAGTTCAGCAGTTGGGTACTGTTTGCATAATTTCCTCCTGGATTAGGTGTGACATTTTTAGGTTGATAGGTGACAACGAACTTTTAATAAATCTAGCTCAATGTGTTAAAGACATGACTCAGAAATAATGGAAAGTTTCAAAAGAAGAATCCCATTTATGCAGTTTTGGCTTTCCACTGAATTAACCAAGTTTGCAGTTCTAAATGCATTTAATGCCACTGTTGGCTGGCTGAGATTTCTTGGTCCCTCTGTTTGCAAGCTACCACACTTGCAAGCATTCCATTCTTGGTCTCTGCAGGCTAGTATAAGAAGCAGTAGTAGCACCTGGTCAGCCTGCAAAGTGATGTGTTCTCCTTGTTTGTTAGAAATCTGTCAGTCCAGATACCAGAGGGTAACTTGGCAGATTCTGGACCAACTGAACACTGGGCAGGTGATGGTGGACCTCAGCCAAAGAGAGCAAAGGTAAGGAGCTCCAAGACTTGAATATCACATGCTTACCACTGAAACTGCTAGTGAGGAAAACAGATGCATTAACTTCCAAAGTATGCCCCTTTCTCAAAACCTCCCTTTGCTTAGGGGTTTGTAATATATAACTAATGATATCTGAGGAGCAAATCCTCAGATTAACACAGCCACCACAGGCCAGTAGAGAAACCAGGTAACTTCTGTTCCAGTGTCCCCTGCCTACCCAGGCCCTGCTGCATCAAAGGGAAGAGAAAGTTAACGGTAGTATAATGTCTTGCAGTTCAGGCCTGATAACATATGATGGGAGTGTGAAAGTTGAGAATGCCAAGCAGAGGTAAATGGAGACCGTCTTTAGCTTAAAACAACAAAAAAAAAACCCACAAAAAACTAAAAACAAACCCAAAACCAAAAAACCCCCAACAAAACAAAAAAAAACCCCAAGAACGTTCAGTGTCTTTGGCCACTTGATGAGCATTTTGAAGCAACTGCTTATTTTCCAACTGCTCAGGCTGAGGATCAAGCCTTGCTCCCGGAAGGTGATGAGCAGATAGATCAGCGCCAGTGGACACAGCAGCACTTGGAGGCAGCAGACGTCTGTGGGAGCACATCACTAGCCCTTACACCACCTCAAGCAGATCAAGAAGTGGATGTTCTGGATGTCAATGTCAGAGGGCCAGGTCAGTACTCTTGAGTGTCCGTGTGTTCTGCCAGCCAGCCACCAACCTCCCCTTTCTCCAATGGTGGGGACAGCTAACGTTTAAAAATTATATGGAGTATACAGGAGCACCAGCAGAAATTTTATGGTACTCAAGGAAAGCTCATGTGCGCTCCAGAAAAGAAAGCTGGAGAGATTGGATTGTGGTCTGTAGCACATGGAGTATCATCTAACCAGGAGAAAAAGAGTTCACTTAGCAATCACCTGTAGGAACTACAGCTATAGGATCTCCTTTATAACAATGCGTGCCTAAAAGATATTGTCAGAATGCCATTGCGGCAGAAATTTGGAATGCATAGTTGTGCTGGAAATAACCCCCAGCTTCTCCAGCTGGATCACTGCAGAGATTTATGCCAGACTTTGCTAAGGACCAGCTTAGCGGGGTTTATATCTGAGGTGTCTGTTGTCTGGGGTGGAAGCAAGGATGGACTCTTCCTGAATAAGATGACTTCTGGCAGACAGTATACCCTGATTAGCAGTGTGTGAGACATCTGTGCTGGAACAGGGCAGCAATGCAGCAAGTTTGTTAATGATTTTTTTATTCACTGATTTATATCCTCAGCTTATGGTGATCAACTCATTGAATTCATAACATGCTGTGAACTTTGAAGGAGACTTCTTTAACACGCACATGCGCACACAGGCTTGCTCTCTTTCAGTCTCAAATGACGAGATGAAGTAAGAATGCTATGCTGCTTTTTGTAAGTGTAGCACTAAGGCTGTGTAACCTGGTAGGGGACTGGGCGGGTCATCATAATAACTCATTCCTGTGTTCTGAGAGGAGAGAGCTGAACAAGAACTTTATCCTGGTGGGAAGAGCTGCAAGCATGGCTCTTGTTCATGTGCGGAGAGGTGATTCTGATGATATTGCTGCAACTGCTTTTTATTGGATTTAGTGGAAATATTTCCATGCAATTTAACGATGACTGGACCCATTCTCTCAGTTCCCTTCTATTGTCTTTTCTGCTCATTGACCCGTTAGCTTTCCTAAATGCAAAGCACAGAGAAGGAGGGATTTCTGTGTAACAAGTGTGAGAACATAAACCATTGGTTTCTGCCAAATTCAAGCTTTTCTTTATTTCCCCTATTGAAGCTTCTAGTTGTGTGGTGGGGTAAAAGCTTTCCAAGTGCAGGCAATAACTTTCTTAAGACTTCAGACTGCTTATTTTCACGTTCACTCAAAGCTTTGTCCAATGATAGCAATGGAATAATACTGACCTGCAAGTTGCTTTCCTGCCATTCAGATGCAACTGTGAAGCTTGCAGCAAGCTGCTGTAAGCTATCTCCCTCTGTGGCATCAGAAGCAAGCAGCTGAGTTGCTGTCAGGGGAAGAAATAGTTTTAAAAGTCCTGAGAAGTGTTGGAGTAATGAGTTAGTAAGGAGGGGTAGGATTCCTCACAGTTAACATAGCTGTTCATCTGCCCTGGCCACCTTCCTCTTCCTTTGCAGGCAGAGGTAAGGAATAGGCACTTCTGAGAGGCAGTTCATCTCTGTCTCAAGCAGAAGTCTCCTGAAGACTGGATGGCTCACACTGCAGTAGTGCTTTGCTGCCCCTAATTACAAAGGGTGTTGAGGATGACTGACTTGGGTGCAGGTGTCTGGGTTGGAGCCATCTGAAGCTGGGTGAGTTAGATCTTGGCCGCAGGTGGCAGGTAGAACAGTAGAGATCTATGTAGAGGGAGGAGAGGCAAGTCGAAATGCCTTGGTGTACTAAGCAGTTGTTTCCTCTCTTAATCCAGCACCTTCTGTGGTTTCTGGAGTTTAGGGGGATCCAGGAGGTCGTCTCCTACAGAAGTGTTGCCTAGAGACTTTGCCAGTGGGTTCTTTACATCCCAGCTTTCAGTATATTGTGCCTATATGAGTCCTTCAGTTGTACCTATCTGGTGAATTTCTGGCTTTACCATCTCACTCCAAGTTTTACATTTACTCAGGGGCTGTATTCTTGAAAGACAGCAAACAGAAGAGTTTTTATAAAATGCTGCTCTCACCTTTGTCTCCCCATGCTGTTCTTTCTCTGTGTCCCCCAGAGTGGTGAGGACATTCTTTTCACTGGAGTTATTGTGAGTGGGTAACCAGGGTAATGCAATTACAGGCGTAACTGGTAACACCACCTATAATTAAAACTGATTAACTGTCCCTATTATATGCCCCTCTTTTTCAGTTACTAAAACTTCAGTGGTTTAGACTGGAATTTTCCATGCTGTGTGTCTGCCCCCGGCTGGATCCTTTTGGGTTCTTTTCCAGCTATTTCAGAGAACAAGCTTGAAGGAGGAAAAAAGACATTGTGTCCTCAGCTTTTTTCTGGTAGTCCATCAAGCACTTAATTGTGACAGTCTAGCTCGATGTGCTTTTTGCTAGCCTCATAAAACTACCCGTGTGTGGCCAACTTAAAAAGCTCTGAAAAGAGCTGCACATACCTAAGACATTTTTTGGAAGGTGGCAGCTAATTTTTCCAAGGATTTAATGCATACTATAGCTGTGTCCCTGTAGAGGAGCTAGGCATGATCCGTCCAGGACTACTGCAGTGATTGAGCAAGCAAGACCTTTCCTGCGAGTGCTTTTCTCAGGGCTGCGGTGCTGGAGAAAAGGAAAGCTCCTTTCTGTGCTCCGTCTCTCTGTTCTTTGTATTGGGGCAGTACGGAGGAGACCACAGCCTGACTTGAATACTGAGAAGTATTCATCTGGGACAAGGAAGCAGAGCCAGCAGTGGGAGGGAGAAGCACAAAAGGAGGTATAGCGTTGGATAACAGGCAAGAGGGTCTGTAGACAGGACTGGATCTTGGAACTGAACCCAGGCTCATACGTCAGCACTTCGCTGCCGTCCAACAAATCCTGAGCAAGTAGCTCAGCGAAAGCCTGTGTGTCCTGTGAGTGTGAGCCACTAGGAGGAGCATGCATGCTGCTGCTGCCAGCCTGGCTGGGGAGCAGAGCTGGAGGCCACAGCCCTGATCTCTGCGGGTGCTCAACACTGTTCCCTGTGGTAGAACGATAGATCTCTAGAAAGTTTTGGAACTGCCGTAAAATAGTCAGGAAAGCCTGGTGATCAGAAGTCGGGAAGTGGGTCAGGGCATTAGAACTCTGTATGTTACTTTCAATAGGAGATCATCGCCTTGTTTATCTGCACAGAATCCTAATTCTGCCATCACAAATCAGGCAGTTGCTGAAAGATTGTCTTGAATTTTTGCTAGCAAGCCACGCTGGAGAAGCAAAATTTGTGTTCACCTTTGCAGAGCTCCAGTGGGGCAGTTAGCACAGAATTTTTCACTTCTGCTGCCATCTTTGTTCCTCTTACTTTCCGGGTGCCTACGATGTGTGTGGAGTAAAGCAGTAAAATCAGTAAGCAAGCATTAGTGTCTACAGTTGGAGTCTTTGGTTTTAGGTAATGAATATGCTGTAAAGTTCAGAGTGTGCTGAAACTGAAGCACTTGGCATTTGATAGGTTGCTGAAAATATGTGGAGGTGTTTCATTAACAAGGGCGAAAAATCAGCAGCATGAGCTAGTCTTTCTGGACCACCCTCTCTGATCAGCAGACAGGGAGGGGAGGTTCTTCAAAGGCAGCTAAGTTAAATTAGAGGTTTGGAGGAGCCTTTCTCCTTCCGGTGGCAATGGAAGGATCCTGGTTAGATGAATGTGAATTTAGCCTTTGTGGATGTCCCATCAGTGTGAGCCCATCACTGGAGACTTGTGGAGAGACACAAGTATCTTTCAAAGCACTCAAACTGTGGTGAGACTTCCAGAAATTTGTAGCTGTGGACAGTCCGTGCTGCAATGGAGGGGCGTGTGGGGAACAAGGCATTGCATGTGTAGGATGCTACTGGTACACCAGTGAATAATACTGGATTAGATCCTGTTCCATGGTCCCCTCCTACATGGTGTACTTCTGTGAAACTACAGCACATGCTTGATCAGTTTGTTTAAGGCTCTGGCCATGGATGTTATTAAAAGCAAAATGAGGTTGGTTCAGGCAGTCGTACTGTGGTGCTTTTCAGCTTTGAGTGTTTGACTCACAACTTCAGGGTCATTCTAATGAAGACTTTGGTGTGTAATAGATATAAAGGCTTTTGTCTGCATTTCTCTTCAGGTTACTATCTGCAATGCCTACCCATTGGTGGGTAGTTGTCCAGTAATTTTTCTCTGTAAATGGTTTCTTTTCCCCACGTATGTGATTAGAACATCCACGTGAATAGTTATACTTAGTCTCATCTGAAGTCTTTGATTTTTATAGCCCTTGCTTCTCTTTAGGAACTTAGCTAGCCTTTACATTTTGAGGAAGTTTTTCACTTCAGCAGCAAACGTTTTTTGTTTTATAATGGTCTTATTTATTTGAGAAGTATCTAAGTTCTGTTGGGGTTGCAGTAAGTGTTAAAGTCCTGCTTGGAAGGAAAACAACTCGCTAACTGTTGGGCTTTAAGATAAGAGACGACGTCTGAGTTAAAGTGACTGGAGGGATTGTCTCTAGCTGTAGGTGCTCAAGGGGAAGGGATTGTGTGAGGGTTTCCTTTCCTTTGCTGTCACCTTCAGGTTACTATGATCACATCTCTTCTGTTGCAGATGGATGTACTCCGCTTATGTTGGCATCTCTGCGTGCAGGCAGTTCCGATATTAGCGAGGATGATGAGGATGCAGAAGATTCCTCAGCAAATATAATAACAGATTTGATCTATCAAGGCGCCAATCTGCAGGCCCAAACAGACCGTACTGGGGAGATGGCACTGCACTTAGCAGCCCGTTATTCAAGAGCAGATGCTGCAAAACGTTTGCTGGATGCTGGTGCAGATGCTAACGCACGGGACAACATGGGACGGACTCCTCTGCACGCAGCTGTAGCTGCTGATGCCCAGGGTGTCTTCCAGGTACAGCAGCTGAAGAACCCCTTTTAGAGTAGCTGTGCTCTGTAATTACATGAGCCTGCCCAAGCTGTGCTATGTTCACTCACAGCCTTGCCCTCATGCTTTCCACAGTGTGATGGCGAAACTGTATTTTACATCCAGTTTTCTCAGGTATTCATAGCTTGAAGAACTCAGCATGCATAAATCATCTGGCATGTATTTATTTGGTCTGTTTGCCTCTGTCACCTATTATCTGGGTCCTTGCATTTCAGTGCTCAGGCTGCTTTTTCATTATAAAGTTTCTCTTGAGTTTCTGCCAAATCCTCAGTTTTGCTCTGTAGTACAAAATCTGTCTTCCCCCGTTGTCCAGATCCTGATCCGTAACAGAGTGACAGACTTGGATGCTCGGATGAATGATGGAACAACCCCGTTAATTCTGGCTGCACGGCTGGCTGTGGAAGGAATGGTGGCTGAGCTAATTAATTGCCAGGCAGATGTGAACGCCGTAGATGACCACGGTAATGTGAACACAACGTACTGGCCTGGGCAAACATTTGTCATGGTGCGAGCAAGGAGGGGTGGGCTTCTGCTCTACCAGAGTGTGGGCTGCTCATAAATTCTGTAGCTAAATCAGACAGTGGGCTCTTCTGCGGAAGTCCTCCCAGCAGTAATAAACTGCAGGCTGCTGCACAGTGGCTTGGTTAGACAGCCCTGGAAGAGAAGCAGAAGAAATATGGGGTTAGATATGCTGGGATTTTCTGGACTGCAGACATGACTCTGTGGGTAGGATATTTAAAAAAATAAAAATAAAACAATCCCAGAGCAAGTGCTGAAAGTCCCATTGCAGTTTGGTAACATAGGGGTATGTCACAGCATGGTGATTTCCAAAGTGTAAATGTGACTTCAGGACCTGTTTACATGCTGTGAGCTGCACTGCAGTTGATTTCTTCCCTCAGTGTATACTCTGTCCATCTTGGTGCTTTAGAAAATAGCTCCTTGGTTTGTTACTGAAGCTGTTGGGTTTCCTTGCAGGTAAATCTGCTCTTCACTGGGCTGCTGCTGTCAACAACGTGGAAGCGACACTAGTGCTGCTGAAAAATGGAGCCAACAGAGACATGCAGGATAACAAGGTACAGTTTGGTTGTGCTCGGCATGGCTGTCCTTCCTAACACAAAGCATCTCTTTGCTGTTTGAAGTGAGCTAGGTTCAGATTTTCTAAACTGGGGGTGCTCAGTGCAGGTCTTCCAAACCCAGACTGTGACTGGAACTCTCCCCAAGTGCTGGGTGTCCTGTAGGATTTCTGATGTGGGAGAGCAGTTCTCTTCTTTGTGTGGCCAAGTCCTGGGCGTCAAGGCTGTCCTGCTTTTCTTGTAGAAAAGGAATGCAATACGCAGTCACTGGTGTGTGAGAGCACCAGGGTCAAGTGCTGCTGGTGTCAAGCAGCTGGATTCTGGTTAGCAGAGAGCCAGATCTGGCAGCTCAGCAGCAGTCACGTTTCCAGAGATCTCAATGCAGGGTGGACATGGGGGAGAAGCCCCTCTGTTTGAGAGGCGGTCTGCACTGTGCAGACCTCCTGTAGCTTCACTGTTAGTTTTTGGTGTGTCTTAGTCCTTGATTTCTGTCCTCTGCGTAGGGTTTCTTTTTTGGATTATTATGTATTGCCCAGTGGATTTTAGAACTGCCAACAAGCTGCAGTTCTTCACTGGGCTGTTTTAGCCCTTTGTACCTTTCCCTCATAGGGGACAATGGGAGAAAGGCACCAGATGCTTTCACAGTTCCTCCAAGGACCCACAGCAGAACAGTGCACTTCCTGGTGGGGTAGTTTAGCCTGTGTGCTCCACTGCTGATTATGAAATAATCTCCTGTAATCTGCCTTTTTCAATGGGCACCTCTCAGGGTGGGTTGTTTTTGGAGACAATTAATGCGACACTCCATTAAACAGTGCTTCCAGGTGTTGCCGCACCATTAAGGGAGTGTTGTAAGTCAGTCCCCCCAAAGTCAGTCCCCCCACAGTGAAGCCGCTAAAATACTTATTCTCTGTGTTTTCAGGAAGAGACACCGCTCTTCCTTGCCGCTCGGGAAGGCAGTTTCGAAGCAGCAAAGATCTTGCTGGACCATTTTGCCAATCGAGACATCACGGACCACATGGACCGCCTGCCCCGAGATGTGGCCCAGGACCGGATGCACCACGACATAGTGCAGCTTCTCAACGAGTACAATGTGGCGCACAGCCCTGCTGGGCACCCCGGCGCCATGCTGAACTCTGCGCTCTCCCCAGTCATCTGTGGCCCGAATAGGTCCTTCCTCAATCTGAAGCATGCTTCGTTAAGCAAGAAGTCACGAAAACCAAATGCCAAAGGCATCATGCCCACGAACATCACCAAAGATGCGAAGAGGAGAAGGAAGAAGTCCCTAAGTGAGAGCAAAGGGCAGTTTTCGGAGAGCTCAGTGACCCTGTCACCAGTTGATTCCCTAGAATCGCCCCATGCTTTTGCATCCGAACCAACATCATCTCCTGTGATGCCGTCGCCGGGGGTGTTACACTCGTCGCCCAGCTCACTACTGACCACTCCGTCGGTGCAGGCTGCGCACACAATGTCCTTCTCCAATCTCCACGAGATGCAGCCCTTAGGACGTGGATCCAGCACTGTGCTCCCATCCGTCAGCCAGCTGCTTTCGCAGCACAGAACCACCCCTCCTAACAGTGGGCTTGGCAGGCTCCGGCCAGCCAACGTTTCCACCGAGTGGATGAACCGTATGGAGGTGAACGAGTCCCAGTACAACGAGATGTTTGGCATGGTGCCGCAGGTGATGCATTCGCACCCCAGTGTTTCTCAGCAGAGCGGTTTGGTTCAAGCAGATACAAAGCACATGGGAGTGTCCAGGGAGTCTCTGCCCCCTATCATGACTTTCCAGCTGGTTCCCAAGGGTGGCATAAACCAGCAAGCACTGCCACAGCAGGCCCAGTCAAACTGCGCTCAGAACATGGCTGGTCCTCTTAGCTCCATGTACCAGGTACCGGATTTAGCTCAGCTGCCCAGCGCCTCGTTCTCCATGGCTGCCATCCCTCAGCAGGACGGGCAGGTGGCTCAGACGGTCCTCCCGGCCTACCACCAGTTCCAGAGCTCGATGGGGAAGTACCCCACGCCTCCGTCACAGCACAGCTGCTACTCCTCGGCCACAGAACGGACTCCTAGCCACAACCGGCACTTACAAGGGGAGCACCCATACCTGACTCCGTCACCCGAATCTCCAGACCAGTGGTCAAGCTCCTCCCCGCACTCTGCCTCTGACTGGTCTGATGTGGCAACCAGTCCCAGTAACAATCAGCGCGGGCCGGCAGCCACTCACATGACAGAGCAGCAGCGGAACAACATGCAGGTGTATGCCTGAAGACTGGCCAAGGTGAAGCCCGATTAAAGCGGACTCCAGAACTCATGAAGGTCTTCCAGGATGGAAATGAAGAACCATTTTAGTATCCAAGAGTCTTAATGAGCCCAGGCTGTTCTTTCCTTGGAGGGACTGTGGTCACTGTAGGCTTGTATGCTTTTACGCTAAACAGAGAACTGTAGAAGCTGGTGATGGAGAAGACCAGCTGGGTCACTTCTAACCAACTCCCGTGCACCTTGGGTGTGATTGCTGTCTGCACTGGATTCTCCAGTCTGCTTTTAAATATGTTCCACCATTTCTTTGGGGAGACAGCTCTTCAGCTTAATGCATCTCACGGTCGTTTCTCCAGAAATTTAGCCAAAACCAGCTTTGTATCCTTATTTTGTTACTCCTTTTGTTACCCACATAACCTCTCTCTGAAGCACCTTCTACTAGTTCTCCTTGAGTTCAAGTTGCCTTGTCCTGACACAGCTCAGAGCTGCACCCACATTCCTAGACCCCTCCTTCCTGCGGCTGCTCTTGCTCAGCAAGCGAGCCGGACTTCCCAAAACAACTGCAGGTCAAGTGACATCTTCTGTCACGCATCTTCACCCTTTCCTCTTCAAGAGTCTTTGTCTTCTACAAACCCACTAACACCCCTTAGCGTTCTCACTGCCTGCCCCCCAGGTATTATGAGATTATATATACATATAGTCTTCTCTTAGGTCTTCCCCTCCTCCCCCCCCCCCCCCCACCAACCGGGGCCCAC